TCGATTTTTTTTTTTTTTTTGTAACACGGTCATTGTGCGATCTGATGTAAACTTCTTCATACGTACGTTATTATATTACTTCTTCATTCGTATGACATAATAAGCTACAGATTAGGCTCACAATAGGCTTCGTCGCAGGTGACGTGTGATCCATAAAAATCGGCACGCATTATTTGCACCGCGCGCAACAACGGTATTAGACCGAAAAATGCCACAAGTGGCACATAAACCGTGCGGAATAAGTGGATTGATAGGTCGTTACCGTTGAAAAAAGGTAGAGCGCGAATCGCGCGATACACGTAGAAAGCTGAGGGTAAAGGAGAAATAGTAAAAGAGAGAGAGAGAGAGAGAGAAAGCGTACAATAAGTCGGAGTCCGACAATGGGATACCGCGGGCGGTCTTTGTGATTCAAATCAATGTTTGCGATACTCGATGGCGCACTGCCTTTGTGGCACCGAGCTTTCCTAGGCACTCGTATATACGTATACGACACACGCACGATCGTACATGCTATCTGTCCTATCGGAAAGAGCGCGCGCGCGCGCGCGCACGCGGTCGCCGCGTGCATACGGTGCATGCACGAGTGTGTGCATCGGCCGCATACTGGTGCGCATCCATCGTGCGACATGAGAAAGCTCATTGTGTGCCCCGGCATAGACGCACTCGAAAACCAGAATCCTGAACGGCCCACGATCGATCTCCTTCTCTACCCGCACGAACGGGCCGTCGTCTCGTGCCCGCGCACGTTCATTCATTCCGATTGCGACGTTCGGGAATTCGCGATGAGATCTTTAGTTTTGCGATTACGTGCTTCTCTCCACACGCATATCGATTTTGACCTCGCGATCAAAGCGCGCGTCTTTTCTCGTGGAGTATTTTCTGTTGTGATATTTATCATCTTCCATGCATGTGTCGAGGCGATCAGTAAATTCCGGAATCGAAATTTTTCGCTTCTATTTTCAACCTCAACTCTTTCACTTTTATGGATTCTAAAGAATTTTGATCATTTTTATAGGTTTTATTTATATAAAAATTGAGTTCCTAGTTTGCACTTTAAATAGATAATAAATGAATAATTGTTTATTTATAAAGCTTTAAAAGAAAAGCTTTCGGCAGAACTATATCTTAAATAGTTTTAGAAAAAAGTGATCTGACTTTGCTGAAATTATCAAAGTAGATGTTACACACAGATTGAAAATTGAGAACAAAAATCTAAAAAAAAATTTGGATGATCATAATGATATGACGAAATAATAAACAATGGATCAACGCGCTATACATAAGTTTGTTAGCAATTACTCATTACTTTTTTTTAATTACAAATTACTAGGTTGATGCATTTTCACTTTTATATGGCGAAGAATATGCTACTGAAAGAATATAAATAATTCTTTCAGTATTTATGATTATATTTCAAATTGCAAGAATGTAGAACGAATTTCTTTTCATTTCAAATTGCTCTCATTCCAAAATATATATGACAGATATGATTGGATATATCACAGATTAAACGAAAACGTAATGCGTAATTCCCGTCTCATGGTATTACTGATTCGCTATGCGTCATCGATATCTTATCAATCAGCTTTTTTTCTTTGTTGAAAGTAAAGCGTCGCGAAATTACTTTACTTTTTAAATGTATTTTTCTATATCAGCTTTTTAAACGAAAAAAAATCATTTTATTTATAGATCTTCTCATCTATCGTTTCTATCTTTTGCAGTAATATATTAATTCTGCAATTATAAATTTGATATCAATTCTGAATTTTAATTTAAAATCTATTTTATTGCTGCTCAAGAGAGGAATTTGCAATAAACGGCTTTCGCTGTATCATTTTCCCTTATTTCGTCTTCTCATCCATCGACCACTAAAATTCACAAAGAAATGTCCACGAAATCGTTTCCGAAAAGCCTTCATTGGGCGTCACGACTTCGTTTCAGCGTGCTCCGTGTTGTGGAACCTGTTGCCGCGAGATGCGCGAAAAGGAGAAGAGACGCGAGACAAGCTGGTTCGTGGCGGAAGTACGCGTGATAGATAAACGCGGCTGCGTTTTGTGCGTCAGCGACTCGATATCAGGAACCGAGACATCGATCTCCCAAAAATCGACACTGTACACATACGATTTTAAATAACATATATCTCTTCTTAAGCGTGATTTACATTTTTTTATTACAAGATTGTGTGTGGTCATATTTTTCTATCGAACAATATTTAATTTTTTGTATTTTGATTATTGCAATTATATTTTCATTTTCTGATGAGTATATTTTCGAATTCACTCGAGTTCGTAATCATCGTGATCGTGACGATGTTATTATTTCGCAATTCGTCCTTGAGGACGAATCTTTGACGTCTCGTTGCAACTTGCATTGATCGCAGTTCTGGGTCATTTATCCGCTATCTCGATAAGCTCTTATCTCGCAACGATATCCGATCAAAACAATAACAGGAAAAATCGTATTTTGCCAATATAAAACATATTTAATTGTTTCTATAGAATTTCTGAGAAATTTCTAACTATTTTAGTTCAAATTAGCAAGATGTTACACATCTATTAAACGTTCACATAAATCAGTTAATGACAGCAGTTTCGACTAAAACTGTACTGTATTTGTTTACACGCTATAAAGTTTGTGTTGATAATTAATTGATGCATAAATGACATCTATTTATATCGATTTATAATTTACTCGACACAGATCATGATTATTTTTTAAAATTCAAGTTCTTAATTATCATTTTTCCAAAACGAGATATTTTAATCTGGAAAATATAATATATCGCACTATGTATTGCAGTTTTTTTGTAACCCGAGTTAGAAAAGATTCCGCATATTCTCTTCCCACTGTTTTCCTGCGAGTTCCTAAAATTTCCAAGAGCCATATCAGACCATTGTCGCGCACGTATCAGACGTAACTTATTCGCATTAAGATCGATATATACGCATCGCGTATTAAGGTGCGCGGACACGTATGTATACACACCAGCGTTGCTCAGCGCGTAGCGGTACATGCGTCCGACGGGTAGCCGATTTCGCGGCGCGAAAAAGCGAGGAGAAACGTCACTGGCGCACAGCATGGAGCATGAGAGGGGTAGACGGGAAGGAGAGGACGACGAGATGGCACGGTAGGGATGAAAAACGAGAGAAGGGGAGCATGATGACGGGGACCAAAGCTTTGCCGCGAGAGGTCGGTCCTTTACGTTCAGTGACGTCACGGCGCAATGGCGCCGCCTTCGTGGTGAGCAAGCTGGCGGCCGATTGGCCGAGAGAAATGATGGCAGGCGCGCTTGCCAATCGATTGCCCGCTGTACCCTCGAGCCCGGTCTGTCGGTCGGGCACGGTCCCCGCTCTATACCTCAACGTAGGTAGGGATTGAGAAAGAGGGAGCTCGAAACCCGAGGGGAAGGGGACTGCCGTCGGCAGGAAGTGAGCTCCGACCCCAAGGCGTATGGTACAAATGCTCAGACAGTTTCGTTCTCTCGTGCAGAGTGGAAGTTGTGTCTCCTTTCTTCTGCGTCGGTTATTCTTCGTTTTCGTTGATATACAACATCGTGGTAGAAGAGCGACCGGGGAAGAAGCAATAAACAATAAAAGCACGTAGACACGTGCTACGGGGCTAAGCCTACACACGGGGAAACGTGTATACGCGAGTGAAGAACTAACGGAAGAGTACCTCGAAGACAGGAACAGTGATCGTGAACAGTGACTCTTGGTTCGCTGGTCCTCGTCGGTTTTGCTTTTCTGGCCTCGTTTATTCTACCGCACGCGCCGTTTAGGTGCCATCGTCGGATTTCAAAGAAGACCGCCGCATCGAAGCATCCGTGTTTTGCTGATGCGTCGTTGCCGCATTGTCGTGACGCGATTCGTCGAGCGTGCCGTGGTCCGCAGCCAGTCAGAGCGGCTGGCGAACGGTACGGAGTGGTGAGAGACTAGCAAGTGAGGGGAAGAAAGTGATAGTGTCGTCAGTTCTCGCTCGGACTCTGTGACTTACAGATCGTACGAAGATCTCTGGTGAAAACTGCAAAAAAAGAGAGAAAAGAAACGATTGAATCATAAAACGGATGGTGCGTAGGAGGACGGTGTCCATAGTATGACGATCGCGAGTGGTACTTCCTGCCGAGTTCGCGTTCGCACGGGATTAGGCGCCTCGTGAACGATACTCGTGACTGGATCCGAGGAGCTCCACGGAATAAAGATCGTATACGTACGGAATGCGCCTTCGTAGTTGGCACATTGTACGACCAGTGCGCCCACGCGATCGTGTAATCGATTGATCGCACGCAGGTGCCGAGAAACGTGCACGCGCGCGTCAGAATTCACCACTGACGGAAAAGTGGTAGTTACGACTTAGTCAACCTAGAATCCGCAGTCGATTTTTGGTTTACTGCTTCAGAAACAGCTGCGCATAGAAAACGCTGAGGAAAAAGTGACCGGTGGTAACTCGATTAACCCGGATAAACAGCCGGTGATCGATCTGATAATCTCGGGGTGTTCCGTTGATTTTCTTGACGTCGAACGGTACTAGAAAAGGGCGGCAAACTGTACGGGCACAGGGAGGAAGACATGCTCACGATGGAGACGGACATGAAGGGCGGCAATCTGCACGCTCAGATGCCACCGCATCCGCACCAGGGCGTATCGCCGATGGGTCACCACACGGGGATGTCTCCTTACGGTAGTCTCGGCTCGATAGTTCACAGCCCGGCGCTATCGGGAAGTCCGCCCAGCGCGGGCGGTCTGAGTCTTGGTCTTCAGCATCATCATCAGACATCTCAGCATCATTATAGTTCGATGGCAGCCGCCGCCGCTGTTCAGCAACAGCAGCAAAACATGCACGCAATGGCAGCGCAACAGAGTGCTCAGCAGCAGCAGCAACAGCAGCACCATTCTCATCAACAACAGCAACAATCGCAATCGCAACAGCATCATCAGCCTAATAATCATAGCAATCCTAATAATCCCAACAACCCTAGCAACTCTGCCAACGCCAAGAACAACAATATGGACCGCGTGAAGAGGCCGATGAACGCCTTTATGGTATGGTCGCGCGGTCAGCGGCGCAAGATGGCTCAAGAAAATCCGAAAATGCATAACTCTGAGATCTCGAAACGCCTCGGCGCCGAATGGAAACTCCTTAGCGAGTCGGAAAAGCGTCCGTTTATCGATGAGGCGAAGCGATTGCGCGCAGTTCATATGAAGGAGCATCCGGATTACAAATATCGACCACGACGCAAGACAAAGACGTTACTCAAGAAGGAAAAGTTTCCGCTCGCTGGCGGCGTCACCGGTGTTGGCGGTATGCTCGTCGATCAGCGACAAGTTGTCACCAGCGGCGGGCCGCAGCAGCCGCAATTGTCGCGTGATGTCTATCAAATGTCCAACGGCTACATGCCTAACGGTTACATGATGCACGACCCAACAGCCGCGTACCAGCAACACGTCGCATACGGCGGTCACATGGGGAACGCTGCGGCGGCCGCTGCAGCCTCGGCTGCTGCCTACCCCAGGTACGACCCTATGAGCCATCACATGGGCGGCGGTAGTCCCAGCCCTATCAACAACTACATGAACGGATACGGCGGATACGGCGCTACCACTGTGCCCGGCGGCTCGCCGTCACCTTATCACCAGGCTCAACCGGGCTCTCAGATGTCAAGTCATAGTCCGAGCGGCAGTAGCATAAAATCCGAACCGACGAGCCCGGCGAGCGGCGGCATCCACACGCCGACGCCGACGGCTGGTCCAACATCGACGAGCGCGGCTGCGGTCGCCAACCAGGCCGTCAAGCGGGAATACATGGGCCAGCAGCAAGCGAGCCAGCAAACGTCGCAGGGCGACCACCTCAGGCACATGATCTCGATGTATCTACCACACGGCCCCGATCAGCCCGGTGCGGGCGTATACTCGCCGGGACCATCGCCGGACTCTCTGCAGCATCACGCCATACAACCGCTCTCACACATGTAAGCTATTGACAAAATAAGAAAGAGAAACAGATTTTTCTTTCTCTCTTTCTTCCTCTCCTCTTCTCTCACTCGCAACACTCTCACGCAACACTCCTCCTCACATACGTTTGCTTGCGAGTCGCTTTTTAGAACCGTAGAAGCGGGATAAACTGTGACATTCTCGACACTTGGTGTAGTAAATTAAAAATACCGAAAAAATGTCGGCTATTTCTCTTATAATATCCACGTAACGTTCGAAAAAATTAACGTCTAATTCGAGGCTTTTTGCGAGATTCGTTTTGCAGAAAATATTTATTTTTGTACTTCTATTATTTTAATTCTTACCATTATTATTATTTCTACATTTTTCAGGCACTAGTCAATCACGAGTTTATCAATAGTAACATCTCCATGGATAGGCTCGGAGAAATATGACTAAAGAAACGAAGCATAATATTTACATTTAAACGGAAAGGAATGTTTTGGATCATTGTAACCGACGATATAGTCTTCGCATTGCCAGATGAGATTTGATCGAAAGAACCATGCGTTCGACTCGCGACGCTAATCTTTTATCATTGAATTGCTGACAAAGTTTTACAAAGGTAATGCAGTTTATTCCGATTCGACGATGCTGATTGCACCGACGCTCACTCCGAATAACGAGAATTATCGATAATCTTTGTCAATGTCATTCGGAGATTATCAATCTTCGCGAAATTCGTGACTCGAGCGTTATAGACTCGCAGGAGATCCGTCTTGTGATTTGTATTTTCATAAATTGTTTTATCAAATTGCCATATTTAATTGTTAAAAAGATAAATATTATTATAAACTGTTTATTTTATATATAGATTCTTTTGAACGGCTTGCACTTAATAATTTCTTGTTGTCATAAATTTATATGCGTGATTGAGATTAATTTCTCAATATATTGAATTCTTTTATTACATATATATATATATATCTGACTTGAATTCTCGAGATAAGGATCTCCTATGTACTCTATATACGCACTAATTCGTGAGTGTCGCATTTATGAGTGTAATGTTCCGCTCAATATTTATTATTTCCTCATTAAACGGCTGTGAACGAGATATAAATAATATATAAATAATTGTTATCTCGCTTCCCCCGGGATATATTCTTATATTTTATAACGCGAACACTCACGATTTTCTATCGCAGACAATAATATCGCATATGCTATCGTGACAATGCTTCTGGACCCTCTATCATCACACTCCAATTAATTATTAAAAACGATGATATACGATACGTACATCACCGATTCGTTCGTTTCCGCGTCTGAAATACGCGGGACGAGTTACTTCGCGCACTCGATTATTACAATTTAAAGAGTTAGTAAGGTGAACTTGCAAGGTGCTGTTAGAAAATTATAGATCGACGTCTCTCGTATCGGCAGCGAAGGAAGCCTGAACCTTCGATTTGCGTGTACCAAGGCGCAAACGCGCTTAATAAAACATGACACTGACAATTATGAATTTTACTGGAATAACAGCTACTTGAATATAATAGCCGTTAATGGCGGATAAGGTTGAATCTATACTTAGGAGCGCACTTAAAACCTACATTATGCGTGTATCCAGTTTTTATGCTAAATAAAAGGCATTTATTACATCGAACTTTAATCATTTATACACTTTTGGCGAACTTTTGTTTGGTATACGAGTTTTTTAATCATCATCATCCCTTTGAGCATCAACTTGATGCAGGATTTGTTTTCACAGGAGATTTGTTTTAAAAAAATCTTCAATATATAGTTATACGAACTATAATCGAATTGATAGAAGGCGGGATACAGCTTATATTTGATAGGTATTTGGAACATAAGAGGTTTATATACGTTTGCAGCGGGTTTATAGTATAGTATTTACAATATATGGAGTTTATATAACCCGCTGTTATAGTTTGCATTTAATCGAAACGTTAAACAAGCTCTTAAATGCCCTCTTTTGTCTTCGTTGAAATGTTTTTCGCCATAAATCGTTATTGAATTTTTCTCGTAATTCTCTTTCTTAAGTGCGAATTATCCTTTTTCACACTGAGTTTTATTTTAACTTTTTATTCATTATACGAAAGTGCGGAGATTTGAGCAATTTTTTGTAAAGATTTCCAAGGGAATTGCATATTTGTGTCATCATTGTGATCATCTTCAGTTTTGTAATTATTATATCATTCTCATTCAACTCATTCCTTTCTTTTAATTCCTCTTATTCTTTTAGACGTCTAAGTTTTGTTATTATTTATGTCTTTATGTGAAATGCATATAGATTTCGAAATTTAAACGTCAAATTAATTTTTTTAACGTAGGGTCCAGAAAGAAGCAGAGTTCACGATACCACATGTTTAATTTAACGCGTAATTTTTTTCCCGAGAACTTAGTTCTTTTCTTTATTATTTCTTTCTATTTTCGCATCTGTTAAAAAAGTGATTTGTATCCATAATTATATTTTAAATAGTAGACGTATTGATATTGAATTTAATTGAAGTGTTTTGATATAGGTTGAGTCAAAAAACCATCAAAATTATTATTTAAAGAAACAGTTTTTCCACGAATCATTTTTCTTTTTTCAACTTATCATAAGTTTTCTTAGATTTTGCGACAATTTTGTATTTCGTCTCGCACTCGGTTCACATTTCGCTATCTATCAGACTCGCCGAATAATCATGAAGGTTTTCGTCTGACTCATCCTATTTCTTCGCGACTCTATCGATGAACGGACAGCTAAAGCTAGAAACTTAACGTTTTCTCATCTCTGTGATCTACAACCTAACATGTAAAACATGACCTCGTAGGAATCTCGTAGCTTAAAAAAATGGCAAGCTTGGATGGACGCCTGTACGAATTGGAATCCTGTAGAGAAAAGAAAAAAGACAGAATAAGGAGGAAAACGAGGAAGTGCGATATATATATATATAGAATGCATAATAATAAAGAAAAACGAGAACGAGAGAAAGCGAGAGAGAGAGAAAAGAGATAAAGAGAGAAAGAAAAAACAAGATAGAGAACAATTTTCACGGAACTACGAGAGAGAGAGACGAGAACGAATCGACCTCTCCGCTCTCGGTACTCGAGAGACCGCGCCTTCGCTCGCATTCACGTCGCACGAAAGATTCTCTCCATCATCCTCGTCCATGTGCTGCACATTATCATCGCCGTCCCTATTCGTCTATAGGGATATCCACGGAGACATTCGGTCTGTGTAGAAGGCGTCGATAATACATTATTTGCAAGTGCGCTTTGCGAAATTGCGACGTTACCAAAGAGAGGAATCCTATTCGAGCGGACGTTATATCCACATTGGTTCCATTTGGATTCTGGCAACGCAGACATTTCATTTAACTTATATATTCGATTAGTTTATATATAATTTTTTTTTTTACTCGAGATGAGATGTTATAATTCGAGATTGTACGAGACTCGATTGTCCTTCGTAAGCTCCATCATTTCTAGCACTGGCGATAGAGGAATATTATCGTACCTCGCTAAGAAAAGAAATTATTTGCTCTAAGAAAGAAAAAAAAAATGTGCGCATGTGATAAGTAATTTGTTAAAGAGACGAAAAGATGGTTTTTTTTTTTACATATAGTAAGATTTTAAATAGATTATAAGTATTGTTGCAAGACATATGTAGATAATATATTGCAAGATATTATCTCTAACTATTAATATAGTTGTTGACATTAATTTTTGATGACACGTCGTGTGTACATATCGATTATAATTTTCTCACTTATTTCGTCTACATGTAATCCGCAATAAATGTATAAAGTGGAATATCTAAAACACACGTAATATTTATCGTAGTTTGAATAATGCGACGGAATATATATATATATAATGTGAAAATTATAATATAAATATTGTACTATACTTAGTTATTACAACTAAAGGAGTAAGGAGAAAAAATATTCGAGAAACATTCAAAATTACGTAGCTTATATTGATTTAGATGTTCTGCAGACACACACGTGTAGACGCCTAAGTTTGTATATTATATGTTTGGTTTTAGTTTAAATTTTAGTTTACGCACGACTTAATATTAAAAGATCAGAATAGACAGATATATATATAGATATATAAACATATATAATAAAAAGAACACGTATGCATCTCTCCGCGATACGTAATCTTATTCGACGCTACATATCTCACATACGTTCTCTGAAAAAATGATGAGAAAAGAGAATCGAACTTTACAAGGATTGGACGAGTCTTATTTACGGGACTCTTCTTTGATTTCATTGAGAATGGCGTATGCGTGTACAACCAGTGGCCAGGGTATTTGTGTGTAATATATGTTACTGTCGATTTAGCAATACAAAAGAAAAACAAAATATTATTGATATATAAGAAGCGCTCTTTTTTGAGGAAAACTTGTTGAAATTGAAACGAATTGAATAACATTGTCTCTTTTTCTTATTTCATTTCCGACGTGCGCTTAAAATCGACAGTTATATATACTTTATCAGTACTAAAATATTCTTCTATCTCATTATGATTACTATTATGAATATAATAATTATTATTATATTATGACATTATTATACTAGACATTATTAGTTGTTATTATTAGTTTTTTAAAATGAGATACACAATATTTTAGTTACTCCTTACCAATCTTTCGTCTCAATCCCTTATCTTGCGTTATCGATATTATAGCCTAACATTGATATCCTCTCGCCGTGATCACCGTCATCGCATACTATTGTAATACTTATTCGTGATTCTTTGCATATAATCTTGTACGGTTTATCGCACAAACTTTTCGTACATTTATTGCGACTGACTGAACGATGATGTGAGCGACTCGAAATGTATTCTTAAGTACTCGTCCGAGATTAATTGTACTCAAGTGATTTTTGTTTTTGCATACACTCTTAATAAAGAGAAATTTATTTTTTTGCATTGAATGAAACCTGCTATTATTAAACCTGCTATTATTAAACCTTTAAGTCTATTTGCGAAAAAATACTGGATAATCTTGATACCTGAGTGATTTCTTACCTCGCGAGTACTTAAGGTATAAGATTCTCGATTTTTCGTTAATTCCCTCTCGAGAGAAGGACGTATATTTCTAAGCTGCGCTATTCGGTATCCAAAATGCGGATACTTCTGACATTTCATGCGTACGAAAATTAATAACGAGACGGTGATACATGCGTGCGTTAGTGCGTGCGTATATTCATTCGATTGTAAATGCAACCGACCGAAGGCACTATACGCACGCACGAAATCCGAGTCGTTGCTTGCTGTAACTGCGATTCAGTCTGTGATAAGAGACATGAAAATACAGTGCGTTTCGACGCGAAAAATTTATATGAAACGCGCGATGTTCCGTGTTGACTCTTGTGCTCGTTATGATAGTTATTACACTTGTTCATTTCATAATAAAGCAAAAATATTCAGCATTTAATAAAAGTGTATTCAGCGCTTTCAAGACACAATTAATTTATTCCTTCTTGATGTTTTCTTTTTTCTATGAAAATTTTTCTTATATCTATTCAACGTACACACAACATCCAAATAAACAACAATAAAAATAATATATGAAAACATGAGATAAATATACTATATGTATAATATTAATACATTTTTTATAGATATACCAACATATAATTTTATAAAATATATGAAATATTTTTAAAATATATATTATTGTGTAATACATACATACATATAT